TATCAATCCACTTTTGCTATTTTTATTCATAATTTTATGAATAGAAATTTGAACTGTTTCCTAATTTCAAATGATATTTACATCATTTTATAAGTAAAATCTATCGTATCAAAAAAGAAAAAGAAAATATAAGACAAATTGAAACAATAGCCTAGGGTATATGTATATGATGAGTGGGGATACGAATTTGCAAAGGTGTGATAGAGCCAGATAATTAGAAAATTTGATTGTGCCTAAGGTGTTTGTAATTTAAGTGAATAGTATTCATAAAATGTTTTTAAGCAGTACAGAGGCTTGATCATATTTGTGTTTATAAAGATAATCAGCAAAATTGGGAAGGATGGTGTATTAGCTTTATGTCACTGTGACCAAAAATACTTGAGAAGAACAACTTAAAGGAGGAAAAGTTTATTTTGGCTCATGGTTTTAGAGATTCAGTCCACGGTCAACTGATTCCATTGCTCTGGGCCTAAGCTGAGGCAGAGCATTATGACAGAAGGACACGGTGACAGAATGCTGCTCTGCTCACGGTGGCCAGGAAGCAAAGAGAGAAGGAGGAGCCAGAGGGACAAGATATAACCTCCAAAGGCATACCCCCAGTGACCCACCTCCTCCAGCCACACCCCACCTGCCTAGAGTTACCACATAGTCATTCCATTCAAACTTGGATTGACTGATTATGTTACAGCTGTCATAATCTAATTATTTTACCTCTGAATATTACTGTATTAACACAGGAGCTTTTGGTGGGACACCTCCTTTCCAAATCATAACAGGTGGCTTGGACTTGTGAGAAATTAAAGACAAGAAGATGAATTGGGAGACCATGTTGTAGCTCAAGTGATTGAGGATCAATCTGAAGTGAGGCAAGACAGAGGAATTAATATGTGAAACATAAAGGAGGTAGAATGAATAGACACCTGGGAATTAAGACAAAGTGGTCATTAGTTATTTCCACTTTGAATGTACGTAGTAGGTTCATGGTGGTTTCATTACAAGGAAAGAAAATGCAATAAAAAGGCAGATCTGGGGAGAAAAACTGAGTTCTATTTCTTTTACCTTGAAGAAGAAGGATCCATTAGCCAGCTGTTATCTGAAAATCAGGAAAGGGTTTAGTGCTAGAGATTTGATTTGCAAGTCATTAGTATTGACTGGACATCAGTTAAGCAGGATCTATACTTGCCTAGTATGTCTGAGGGAAACTGGACTATTGGAGGGAGAAGCCCCTTTCAAGGACTTTGAGTAACTATTAAGAGAATGGAGGAGTAGAAGAATATGGGATATCAGAGACGAGTGTTGAGAGCCACAACTGAAGCGGCCCCAGCAAACTTCCAGCTGATTGGCTCACCACGGCCCCAGCAAACTTCCAGCTGATTGGCTCCTCTGTGGCGATGCTCATTGGGCTGTTTCTCAGCCCTTTCAGACCACGGAACTGCTCATTGGGGGACTCTTTTGGCTCTGCCCATGCAATCCAGCCAATCGGCCTCAAGAGCGGGAGGAGTGGGGGTTGAGAGGCTCAGCGGAAGCCGTGGTGGCAGTTGGGCTCTGAGGGAATTCCTGAAGAGCTCCTGTGGTGAGGCGTGTGTTTGCTGGGGCGGCTTAGGCTGTGGCTCTCAATAGATGAGTGCTGGTGATGTAGAAGGATGATCTGTAATAACAACTCTAAAAGTTTGTTTTTTAATCCTGCCTTATTTATTAAACAACAGACATATCAAAAGAAGTAACTGGAGGAAAATTAAGCTTACATCACATATTAATTAGAACACTTTAGGGTTTCTGTAAGAGAAATCAACTTGAGCTAGCTTTGGTAGAATAAGTGACTTTCTTATGTGGATTCAGTGATTCCTCATAGAATCCCAGAGTTAAGAAAGCCATTTTAATCATGAGTCAGACAACCGTTGAGGATGCAGGCTCAGCTACACTCTGTCTACCTTTTTTCTTTGTCTCTCCCATTCCCTCCAGTCTTGTTTTCTCTACTTCTCCTGATGCTACAGCACCTACATGGATATGATATAGCACCGGATACTCAATATTACCAATTGCCTCTCCCTATTCTAAATCCCCAGGGAAGTTCTCCATTGGCCCAGCATGGGTGAGATGTCCCATTTTAATCCAGTTAATTGTGTGTGTGTGTGTGAGTGCATGTGTGCATGTGTGCATGCTTTGTAAGTGTGTGTATGTTTAAAGGGGCGAAGGAACTCCAGGCCAATTAAATCATAATGGGTGGGATCCAGAAGTCAGTATTTTTGTTTATAAATGCCCCACTTTGAAAACCAATGGTTTAGGCTCCATTATTTTTATGAAAATAAATACTTTGGTAGGGATAATAATGCCAGCTCTCCCTAATCCCCCCCCCCCCTGTACATATCTATGTCTAAATCTGAAGGTCAGGTGATTATCAACCATAACAACAACAACAACAACCACAAGAACAATAATTCTATCTATAACTCTAATTCCCCTAAAGAAATATTATTTTGGATTATCTGGATGGGCCTAATATAATCACAAGGGTCCTTAAATGTAGACAAGGTAGACAAAAATGTCAGTGTCAGCTATGCACAGTGGCACACACCTATAATTCCAGCTACTCAGGAGGTTGAAGCAGGAGGATCACAAGTTTGAAGTCAGCCTCAGCAACTTAGCCAGACCCTCAGCGATTTAATGAGACCACATCTCAAATTTTTAAAAGGTTTGAAAAGGGTGGGGATATAGGTCAGTGGTAAAGGACTTCTGGGTTTATTCTCCAGTACCCCCCCCACAGCAATTCAGTTTTAAAAATGAGTGTCAGAGTAATATCATGGCTGATTTTGAAGATGAAAGGGGGTCATGAACTAAGGAATGGGGACAGCCTCTAGAAATTGGAAAAGATAAGAAAGAAGTCTTCCAAAGAGTTTCCAGAAAGGATCTCTACTCTGTGGACATCTTACTTTAGCCCAGTGTGACTATTTTTAGACTTCTGTCCTCTAATAATGTAAGATGTGTATCTTTTTCTTCTTCTGAAAATAGCATGTCCATCTAACCTTTTCATTTAGAAATATTTCTCTTTATTTTTTTCTTAGGTCACACATGTATTTTCTTTACAGGAGTGGTTATGATACCCAAACCCACCCAATTAGGCTCTTCCTTTGGTGTTTTAAAAACTGGAATGATGTTGATACCCTGTCTCAAAATCAAAAACAAACAAACAAATAAAACAAAGCAAAACTGGAAATGCAGAAAGAGACATCTTCTGTCTGATAGCAATTTAATAGGCATGATCCCACTACTACTTCTCAGAGGCCACGGTTCCAAGCCTGTAGCTCATGACTTTGGGAGGTTTAGAAAAAAAAAAATGACCCTGTCTGAGAGTGGTAAGATTGAGAGCCTGAACTGGAATTTGAAGCATTCTAGCTTCTGGTTCCATTTATCCCCAAGACCAATCATAGAATTACAACTTGGGTTACACAATAACCTAAGCTACTTCAATTTAGTATTTGTTACTCCAATCAAAATAACCTGACAAATGCAGTCAATAAATAAATAAATAAATAAACCCAGTAATTAAATGAAAAGTTTTTAAAAACCTACATATACACATCTGTTAGGATGCAAAAAATTATTTTTATTAACCCATTGTGTTTTTTAAGTACCTTCCATAAGGGAAAACTTTTACTAGTGAAATGAATAGGACAATGCCCTGCTTCCAGACACTTATAGATGTATTCATCTGTGTCTGTATTTGCCAACATACTTTTCTGCAATAAGTCCTTCCTACAGTCTCTTTATACTTATTTGACAAACGCAAAATAGAAATGTGTTCAAGCAAGTTGGCTTTGTAAAATACACAAATGAAAGAACCATAAAGGTTAACAAGAAGATTTTCATGATAGTCTTATCTTTAAAGGCAATTACCAGATTCTTCCGTAAAATGCTACAATTACAATCAAAATACTTGCTGGGAAGGAATATTGGTGTGATCCTGTGGTGATTCTTTTATTCTTAATGAACCAAATACATCTTAATTCCATCATTACTAAAGTAAAAAGAAAAGGGGGAAATTAGTTTGGAATAAATCACTTCAGGCCCACAGCACAATTCACTTTGGATTCACTCAGGTGTGTGTTTATTTTAATAGCCGATCTGAAGGCATGTGAGGTGCCACAGCTGACCAGAATCTAAACAGAAAAGCATAGAACTTCCAATTAAGCACACATGCAGCATGGAATAATAATCAAGTTAGGCTCCCTAGAATGCTAAATTCCAGAAAACCTTCAGCCCTTAGGTTGTCATTTCCACAACAGCACAGATCTTTTATTTTGTTTCTAAGAAGGGCTTTTAATATTCTAAAATACAAATTCTAAAGTAGCAGCCTAAAAGGCAGATTCAAAGATGGGTGTTATTTGACAATCTATGTTCTCTCCTTTCCAAGATATTCCTGTAGGTTTGTTCAAGATTTTTTTTTCCCCCAAGAGAAAGCACACTGTTGTCCCCCAAAGTTGTCCAGAAGCAGGGCAAGAGAATTTGTCCTTAGGGAAAGGGCAATTCCCAGAACTGTAACAGTGGGCAATGCTTGGATGGTTGCCAGTCATGATCTGGACTCGCTCGAATACCTGCATAGGTCATCTGTGGAAGAGAAATCTCCACTCCCTTCACAAGGGCTGAGGACTGTGCATGATGAGCAGTGACAAAGGAAAGAAAAATGTGTAGTTATATAGGCATGTGAAAGGGGTAAAGTCTGGCAGGAATCTGTGTGGCTTGAGGAAGTCCCGAGGGCTGACTGTTTGGCCCTGCGCCAGGTCTGGTTTTTTTGAGAGTGCAGAGGCGCCTCGATGACTTTTCTGTCTACCAAGAGTGGAGAGCCCCAGACCGATGCCCAGGGTAGTCGGTCTTCCCGGCAGAGGCAGTGGTGACAGCAGAGGCTCCACTCCTCCCTTCATTCCTCCGTTTCCCACTCCGCCTGGCCCCGCCCCTCATTCCCCACCCCTACTAGCCCCGCCCCTTATTTCATAACTCCGCCCCAACCCGGTCCTGTAGCTTATCACCTCCCTTCCCGTCCGCTCCTGCCTGCTAGCTCTCGCTGGACTCGGCAGTTGTGGGAGCGCGCAGGCGCGGCGAGCAACTCTTCAGAGCGCTGAGTAGCGGAGAGGGACGCGCGGTAAGTGTGGCAGGAACTCGGGGCTCCTCCTGGGTAACTTGGTCCCAGGCGAGCGTCCCAGGAGGGATCGGGGTGCGTGGGGGTGATTTCAGTCCAGCAAAGAGAAACTAACTAGACGTGAGGCAGCACTGGTGGTGACGTTGCCTAAGGGTGTCCGGCCAGGACCGCGTGGAGAACCGAGTGCTTGTGGAGAGTGGGCGAGGGTGTGTATAAGGAGAAAAATTGGAGAAAGGCTCCAGAGGCTGGAAGTCCACACACGGGATTGGCAGGATCGGGAAGCTGGCCAAGGGCGCTGGAGAGTGTCCCAGCTTCAAGTTCAGTCCCCCTGCTTGGTGCCCCTGAGCAGCGTCCCAGACACATCCCTTCCCCCTCACTGCCTTCTCTGGGTGCATAGTTGCCAGAAACCTTCACCATCGCTCGGGAGAGGATTTAGAGGTGGGCTGTTGGCCCGGGCTCATGCCAAGGAGGGCGTAGCTTTCGTGTGACTTTCCTTTACCCCGCCCCCGGGAATGTGTCCCTCTTCTGGTCCATTGTGCTCGTGGACGTTTTAACAAAGGCTATGACTGTTTCGCAGGCAGTGGCGGGTGACAGCGGGGGCGGGTGTGTGTATGTGTTGGGGAGGGGTGATTGAAAAGTCGGGATGCGGCCCTGGGGACGGGAGATCTAAGGGGTGCCTGGCGTGGGGGAAGTGGAAGGAAGGGAACAACCTTCCTGCTTCAGCTTTTTCCTTCTTCCTGGTCCGCTGATTTTGATCAGAGGTAGAACAACCTCAAGAAGGATACGACTGGATGTTAGTGTGCATGTTCAGGCTCTGGCTGCTGCAGCCTTTGCTTTTGTGATTGTGTTGTTCATATATTTTCTAGAGTCCTTTCAGGTAGAAAAGCGAAACTAATAGAATTTGAAAGGAGTAATTGAATGGGGGCAGTGAGGAGGTGGAGTGACAAAACTTAGAGCTAAAAAATTGCCTTTTAAAAGTTATAGTTTAAAGCCAGACTTAGAAAGATGTGAAGATGGGCAAGTCAGGGTAAGTAAGAACTTGGTTGGGGTACTGTTGATTGTTTCAAAGACACGCATACTATAGGGGGTAGGGTGCTGCCAAGGACTTTGGCAGACTCTCTTTAGAACTTTTAAAAATTATATTAGGAAGGCTCAGTGGCAGAGCCCTTGCCTAGCATGTGTGAGGCACTGGGTTCGATCCTCAGTACCACGTTAAAAAAATAAATTAAAAAAGGCATGTTGTCTATCTACAACTGTAAAAAACATTTTTAAAAAATGATATTAGAAATACAAAACACTAGGGCAAATATTATGATGTTGGATATGGGTCCATAGGCTTTCATTTTCAATTTTAGAATCTTTTATGAAAGATGGTATATGTATTCCCAAGCATAAATATTGATATTTTTACTCATTTGTTTTAACTTAATACAATAAAGTGATCTTCCTTTTCCTCCACCCCTTTCCCTTGATTGTGAATCCTGTTTTATAAACATTTACTTTCAGACTTGAAATATGTTTAAAGACAATTGCCCCACCTCAGGTATGAAGTAAATAAGATTTCTGCTCCTTTATTCTTGTAACTCTTTCTTCTGTTTTTTTTTTTTTCTGTTATTTTAAGAAACAGAAACAGTTGCTAAATTATCAAACTAGGGAGGTAGGAGTAAGTGATTCCTTGTCCCTTTTATAAGGAACTCCTGGAACTTTCCAAATGAATTCTCTGTGCAGACTCATCCCAATTCCCCTCTTGGACAAATTTGCCAACATACCAAGAATAAATTAAACATTCCCTTTTCCATTAAATTGATATCACTGACCTTATTTCTCTCTTGCTACTAGAACCTCAGGATTCTGTGTTACCCCAGTACACAATGCTACCTGGCATGTGGTGAGTGCCTAGTAAACTTATAGTTAAGTATTAATAAATGTTGTTAGAAAGATAGTAATTCATTCTGCATAAAGTTCATGGGATAATAAAAGATTTAAAATGCTAAAATTGTTTTTAATATTTGAGTAACATTATTTGGAATATTGATGAGGAATAAGTACAGGATTATATTCCCATGTATTAGTCCTAGTTTATCCTTATAAAAGAAGTACAAAAACTGCAGATAAAGGGAAAATAGGGGATCAGAAAATGGCCAGATTTTTTCTGAGGGGGTGCTGGGGATGGAACTCATGTCCTCATACTAGGCAAGCACTCTACCATTGAGCTGCACCTCCAGCCCCCAAGACCAAGTTTTTAAAAGGCTAATTTCTAATACTGAAACTGAAAAATCAACATGTGGCAAATTAACCATCTGTAGAAAAACACAAATAGCGTGCTGCTGGAATTTAGGAGGTATTACAAACAATAAAGCTTGCCAGGTGGTATTCTCTGAAGCCTGATGTAACAAAAGAAATTGTAACCTGGTCAGTTGTGTTATACTTCCAAATCTTAAGGTGGTTTGAGCCTTTAGTTAATGGATCTCTTTGAGTTGTATTATTCCCTGATGGGTTTGGTCTGACCATTTCTGCCATCTTACCTTTGATATTCTCTTAATTCCACCAGCCTTACTGGCTTTCCATTCACCTCTGGTTCAAACAGAAATTAACTTCCCCCAGCTCCTCACCAGATCCACTCAATCTCATCATTCCCTTCCCCAGCTTTCATTTCATGAATGGATTTTCCATTTGGAGAGACTATCACAAGCAAATGATCACTCACTTTGTAAAATAATGTAATTGATTCTTTAGTCTAAAAATGAGTCCTGATTGACTACTTGGTTAGTCCAGGTTTCTAAGTGCAGAGAATCTATTCTGGTCATTAGTAACTTCTATTTTTCTTCCTTGATTTCACCTCTATCTAATTAAATGTAAAAGTGACTTAATTCTATTTCCATGACACCTCTTTAAATAACATTAACCATTTACCGCCCCCCCCACTTCATGTTCAACGTTTTTTTTTAAATTTTATTATTTTGTGGGGATGGGTGCCAGGGATTGAACTCAGGGGCACTCAACCACTGAGCCCCATCCCCAGCCCTATTTTTGTATTTTATTTAGAGACAGGGTCTCACTGAGTTGCTTAGCACTTCACTGTTGTTGAAGCCGGCTTTGAACTCATGAGCCTCCTGCCTTAGCTGGGATTACAGGTATAGAACACTGCGTCTGGTCATGTTCAACATTTCTATTAATAAAACTTGAGACGCAGAGACATAAACAGATGCCATAATTTTTTTTAAAGAGAGAGAGAGAATTTTTTAATATTTATTTTTCTAGTTTTCGGTGGACACAGCATCTTTATTTTATTTTTATGTGGTGCTGAGGATGGAACCCAGTGCCCCGCTCATGCCAGGCAAGCATGGTACTGCTTGAGCCACATCCCCAGCCCCATAATTTTTTTTTAAAGTTCTACATCTTCTGTGACTTATATACCCACCTATTAAAAAAATATTACAAACCAAACCATTGCAAGCATATCTTCCTTCCTAAAACTTTCCTCACCTAGACTGATGTTAAGCTTTGGATATGAGGTGTCCTCCAAAGGCTCCTGTGTTAATGCAGGACTATTCTGAGGTGAAAAGATTAGGTTATGAGAGCTGTAACCTAATCAGTCCAGCCTAGTTTGAATGGATTGAATGAGTGGTAACTGTATACAGGTGGGCCATGGCTGGAGGATGTGGGTCACTGGGGATGTATCCTGGAAGGGTTTGTCTTCCCTGAAGCCCCTTCCCCCTGCTCTCTGATTCCTGGCTATCATGAGTGGAGGAGCTTTCTTCTGCCATGATGTTCTACCTCACCTTGAGCCCAGAGCAATGGAGCCATCCAACCATGGACTGAACCTCCAAACCATGAGCCAAAATAAACTTTTTTTCATCAAAGTTGTTGTCAAGTATTTTGGTCACAGTAATGAAAAACTGACTAATATAACTCCCTCCTTGTATTTCCATTTTTCTTTTAATTCTTGATTAGTTCATTTTACCAAGTCTTTATCTTAGAGTTCTGTGCAAAACTTTCTTTCTTACTATATGCTGAAGACAATACTATGGCAATCAAGGACATGGATATGGAAGGAAAACAAAATTTTAAACTTCTTAGTATCGGTTCCCTCATCTGTAAAAAATGATAATGATAATACTTACCTGAGAGTGAGATCAGGTATTTTAATAGCTTATCTTAATGTTCTAAAATGGCAGCAATTTATTTGTATTTGCTATTTCTTGTGAGCTCCCATCATTTCAGTTATCAATTGACTTCAAAATGTGGATGTTTTGATACCTCACACCCTGTTCAAACTCCAGTTGTGTATTTGTGGTTTCCTTCCATATATCTCTATCAAGTTGTTTATAGCACAGTGGTTGTCAAATTTTAGCATGCACTATAATCACAAGAATGCTCGTATTTCTGGGTCCCACCCCCAGAGTTTATGATATAAGTCCTGAAAATTTCCATTTCTATCAAGTTTTCAAATAAAGGTGATGTTGCTAGCTTTGTGAAAGAAAATTGTTCATCTGCAAGGAAAAAAATTAGCTGGCAGCCTCCAGCCTAGTGATATGGTAGGCATTGTAATGTCACAACACATTACTCATGTGTTTGTGGTTAATGATGATATAAGTAAGCATACTGTACTGTCAGTTGTATAAAAATACAACACATACAATAATGTATGTATTACAATAAGGTATGTACGTTAACACTTGCTAATGCTAATATATGAGTGTTACCAATTTATATATTTACTATAATTTTAGATCATCATTTTAAAGTATATTGCTTCTACTTATAAAAAAATACTGTAAAACAATATACCATTTATATGGTAGCAGCAGCCTCATGCATCTTGTGTTTACTGTATCTCTCAAGTGCATCAAAAGGCCAAGAGGAATGATTGACCTATACCATCTAGGCTTATGTGAGTATACTCTAAGATGCTTGTCTAAAGACAATTGACACCAAGAAGCATATCCCCATTGTTAAGTGGCATATGACTACACACATATACATACACACACACATACACA